GATGCGGCCAATACCGCTCCGGATCTTGAAGACACTTGTACAACGCAATGCAAATTCGAGTTTGATTGATAGTTAGATGCTATATACCAACTGTCTCTACCTTCACAACCACTAGATCTCTCATCTTCAGCTATGTATCTGCTCTTCCTTGTTGATCTTCGTCGTCCAGCTGTCCTTCGCACCGGATCTTGATCGATTTACAGCGTAGTTCTAGCCTCATGGCCGGATCGCAGTGGATACTCTCCAAAGCGGGCCACACATATTCAGATCTTGGTCACCTCGGTTGTCACTGCCGAAAATGCATATTGTGACAGGATTCGCCTTGATCCAGTTTCTATAAACACCCATAGCGATCTTCCTCACTTGGACCATCCAAAACTGCGTTCACAGCCCGAGATCCGCGTGATCTTGCCTGGCACATATAGGATTAATAGCATCCCACTCCGTCGTATCCAGATCCGCGACACTTAGCTTTGTCCTGGGTCCACCATGTCCTCGTAACCTTTTTTCCAGTGGTCTTTGGCCAAATTACTCCGATCTAGACGCCCCACCCCTGGATTGTCGTGGTTTATCCTCTAACATCATAGATCTTGAACTGATAATGCAAGGTTTGTGTCCTCCGGATCTACCTGTGTCATGTCTTGATTCGCGTTATCCACGGACCGATTTAAGTTGATGCCGTCACACCGAGTCTTATCGCCGCCCCCTTCGTCCAGATCTATCACTCTCTGGTTCAGTCTGCTGCAATATTCTCACGTCCGGGTCAACACTGTCACTAATCCGGAATAGTGTCCAGTTATCAGGTTCCATCGTCTCCTTTCTTGAAAAGCACTTCACTACAATAGCACTGCTACCTTAGCAACTTTTCCAACAGACGACAGCGAGTCTTTTGTGTTCTCTGGTAGTCGATACAGAGCCACAGTGTCTTCAAGTACTTAGATCTTCACTCCACGGACTCACGTACGGTGTTCACCTCTGTTAAACGCACGCTCGGCGAAGCTCACGGCATTTCCCTTGTAGCAACTTAAAATGAAGTCTTGCACATAGTTTGCAGCTCTATATAAAAACCGAGCTTCAAATACTTCCTGGTAGTTTCGTAAGTGATCTAACAGCTTACTCTCCCGCGTCATCGTGGGGTCATGTCGTCTTCCATCCATTGCCTTACAGACGCGAATGCAAAAGCTATCAGGAGCTGGGGCGGTGTGATGGTTAAAACGGCGACCGCGGTAGTTACCGCTATAACAGTGTCACTGTAGATTCTCGCCAAGAACACCGTCTGTACTAGGTGAAGGGCGACAAAAGCCGATTATGGTGCCGTCAGAAAAACCGAAAATGCCATCCATAGGCGCACATCTAGTTTTAATCGCTGCGTAAGACTCGTCAATTCGCGCAGCCAAGATGCTCTGGTGGAGTGGGGTCGCAAAATCACGTTGCGATCCACTCTGACACACAGTGCCCTTTGGACTGCCGACTAACGGAGGGGGTACTTCGATAACCGTGGGGTTGCTGAGGGATCACCTTGTGTACCCGTCGGCGTGGCTGGTTACACTCCTCTGGTGGACCTGATGGGAAGCTTGGCCTGGGCTGGTTTTGTCTTGGCGGGACGCAGGATGGTGGGGTTGCGTAGCGTGGATACTCTTCAGGCTACGCGCCAGGTAGGTTGTCGATCTTAATCGACTTGGGGTGTGTTTGCTCCTTT